ATCCTCTCACCTGGCTATATTTCATTTCCTAACAATTGGATACTATATATTTATGTGCTTATTTGTTTATTGTCTTTTTTCCCACAGAAAGTAAATTTGATGAGGACATGGCTTATTTTCTTTTGTTCACTACAAAATCCCCAGAGAACAGGGCCCGGCCCTTAGTAGGGTTTTACTAAATAATTACTAAGGGAATAAGCAAAACATTTCATTTGCTCTAATGCTAGCAGAGGCCAGAGTACACAGAGAGCAACAATGTCAGAAGGTTACACTTCAAGAAAAAAGAATCCCCACCTCTGTACCTCCTTTGAGAAAACAGAATTTAAAGGAAGCAGTTAATGAGAGGAGTAAAAATGCTGTTTGGGAAGAGGCTGGCTTTCTTCTCCACCTGGATGTTGCAATCCAGATACTAAGAGGCAATTCCAGCCTCAGGAAGGCCGCAGAAAAACCCCATGGAGCACAGCACTCTGTGCTGACTTAAGTTCAGTTCTGCCTGGGGTCCTCTGGCTGAGCTCAGGATGTTCCTCTGCCAGGGCCTTCAAACCCTGTTTAATGTACCTATTATGCCATGAGCTCTGCCTCGTTAGCCGAAGGAGGCAGGCACTCCAAGACCCAACCCCTGCACAGTGGCTCCCTTCTACTACTGGAAAAGACGGGGAAAATACAAAATCGGCAAAATCATGCATCCTTCCTCCTCTCCCCTTCTCTGCCAAACTGTGTATGACTTTTTACTCACAGTCACGCTCCCATGAGGAGTCCCCACACCTTCTTGATATGGAGATATTAAACCAGACAGCCACATCATCTGATCCATTTCCAGATTGCAGCAGAGGTCATTAAGGCCACGCACTCAAGTGAGTAGCAGACCCAGGACCAGAATTCAACTTGGTCCATCAAAAGAACTGGCCACTATGTCCCCTCATCAGCTGATGGCAAGCTCCTGAGGGAGACGGCTGCTGTGTTCCTCTTGTGGACACGGGGTCTGACTTACAATAGGTCTCAAGAAATATTTGAGGGGGCTGGGGTTGTGGCTCAGCGGTAGAGCGCTTGTCTACCACGTGCAAAGCCCTGGTTTCGATCCTCAGAACCACATAAAAATAAATAAATAAAATAAAGGCCCAACTACAACTAAAAATAAATATTTTAAAAAAGAAATATTTGAGGAATAAATATATGAATGGCTCACTTTTAACTGCTCTGTACGAGTATGATTGTGGATGATATAACGAATGACTCTGTTGAGGTTAGAAAAAGAGAGAGACTCAATAGAGAAGTTAGAGGATATTTGGGGCTGGTGTGGCTGAGGAAAATTAGCTTCAGCACTTTCCAGGGTCTAGCTGAGTTGTCTGGGTGTGGAAGCCCAATCTTCACAGTACAGAGTTGAGTATTGGGAACTACCTTGAGCTAACCAAACTCATAGGAGATGATAATGCAATTAATTATTCTACAATGTGCCAATGGGACTGGGCATTCCAATAGGCTAATTAGTCATTCTCTCCCAATGGAAAAGTCTAATTAATAAGCCACTTCCATTAGCTGTGCATCTCTAGAGGGCTAGTCTTAGCACTGATTACTGTCACTCCAATCCCTGGCATAGTGAATAATCACTCAAATGTTGCTGTTTTCATAGAAGATAGGCTCCATGAGGGCAGGCATTCTTGCCTGTCTTGCTCACTGCTGTATCCCAGGCACCTAAGAGAGTTTGCTGAATGATGTGTACATGAAGCATTCTTTAATCAGCATAATGTTAGGAAAGAGTAATTTTGTTTTATTGTCCTGTTAGATTTGATCAGCTTATGTGAGCAGGCATAGCTGTTCGTTAAGAGAATGCAGCTATATGATTACACGATTGGTGTAATCGACATCATGTACACCAGGGGAATGAGAAGTTATACTCTATTTATGTATGATGTGTCAGAATGCATTCTACTGCCATGTATAACTAATGAGAACAAATTTAAAAAGAGAGAGAGAGAAAGCAGCTTCCAAGCAGATATACTTACTGCGCATGCTCCCAACTTTCTATCCTCTTCATGAGGTGGTACTGAAGATACAGACAACTTTTGTTCCACTTTACCCTGCAGATCTGCTCTCTGCTTAGCACATTCTTTCTTCAGACCAGGTACAGGCCAGTTGTGACTGTATCATATGCTCACCTTCTACTCACTGTTCTTGGTGACTCCATGTGAGCACCCTGGTCACCTTGCTTAAAAGGAGGTAAGCTGAAGCCTCCTCAACTGCCCATTTGTGTTTCTTAAAGGGAGTCCTGTTAGCACATGTCCATTCATGCTCATGTCCTCCACGAAGGTCAACTGAGTTCCCATGTTCAAGGATCCCAACGGTCTAACCATGGTCAATAGCAAGGTTGTGGGAGGGGCAGAAAACCAGGAAGTAGCAAAGCTTACATCTGCCTCCAAATGTGAGGACCCTCCTGAGCAACTCTAACCATGAAAGGTCCAATTCCAATAATGATGCCAGTAACTCGAGAGACAGAGTGATACAGAAGAAAGACCTTTATTGACAACAAGCTGGCAAGGTGTAAGATGGGGACTCTTGTCCTAAAAAAAGGCTATCTTCTGAGCTGGGGATGTAGCTCAATGGTAGAGCACTTGCCTGGCATGCATGAGACTCTGTGTTGGATCCATCTTCCCTAGGGGTCACAGGTACAAGGCTTACATAAGGACTTGGGGAAGTTTTTTATTTGTTTTGTTTGGGTTTTTTTTTTTTTATCTGTTTGTTTGTTACCAGGGATTGAACACAGGAGTGCTTCACCAATGAGCCACACTTAGTGAGACAGGGTCACTAAGTTGCTTAGGGCCTTGCTAAATTGCTGAGGCTGGCCTTGCACTTACAATCGTCCTGCCTCAGCCCTCCTAAACCTGAAAAAAATATCTTTTAGTCTCAGATGAGGGCTACGTGCTAGGGTAGTCATAAATTCTACAATAGTCTGCTTTTCTGGTGCACATGTTGCTATTATCTGAAAGTTAACCCAGTTTTCTGGGCTGGGTGGTGGCTCAGTCATAGAGTGCTTGCCTAGCATGTGTGAGGCACTGAGTTCAATCCAACCCCCCAGCACCACATAAAAGTAAACAAATAAAATAAAGGTATTGTATCCATCTACAACTAAAAAAATGTATTTAAAAAGAAAAAAGAAAAGCTTTTAATGATTAATGGGTTGGGGGTATAGCTCAATATAGCACTTGCCTAACATATGCAAGCCCCTGGGTTCAATCCCTAGCACTAAAACAAACAAACAAACAATTAGAAAGTTTCATTGTTTTCAAGAATAGCTAACCTTGCAGTTAGTCATTAAGATACAGAATAAGGGAGGGGAGCAAAAAGACAACTTTCACTGGAAAATAGTTTTAATCCATTAGGCGGCCTTTGTAAGGGGTATCATCTACAGCAGAGATAGTAGGAGACTAATAATATGTTGTTCAGCTATGTGACTTCCAAATCAGTGGTTTTTAAAATCAACTAAAAGCCAGTGAAGCTAGAGGGTTTGTTTAGGTTTTCCCTGAGTTACACAACCAGCTCTCGGCTCTACCTATTCACTGTGGATTCTAATGTACATGTGTGTGATGCCTTGCAGCTTACCAGCACTCTTACACATGACCCATTGGATCTGAGCTCACAATAACCACTGCCATAGGGTATAGCAGGTATAATAGAGCCATCTTACCAAGAAGGACATGGTGGCACTAAGTGCCTTGTCAAAGCTGGCACTGCTAATAAAGTACAGAGCTGGGGTGTGAGCTGACTTCCCAGGACTGCAATCCAGGAATGATTCCATCAGTCTCTCTGTCAGGGTCAGCTGGAAGTGAAAGATTGGGGCTGAACCCAATAGTGTATCCAGCCCCTTGGATTAAGAAGATCAGTAACAAGGTAGGAATAAAACCACCAGGTTGTCCCAATACTAGACCTTACCAATACTGCTCCCTCAAATCCTTTTTCTGCCAACCCTCACCAATGTGATAACTGAGGAATTAAAAAGGTATAAAACACAAGAAAAAGCAAGGATGAACAAGCAGTGTCGACACAGTTTTGGCAGATGATAAAATTTTGTAGATTCAGGGGCCTTTCTGTGTGCAGAAAACTTGGAAGAAAAAGCTAATCTACATCATAGAAAGAAACACAATGAGGCAAAGAGATGGGTGACTGGAAGGAGGGATCTAATCAGGTAGAGAATGTGGATTCAGAAACGGATTATTGGGGGAAAATGTAGGGAAGGACACTTTAAAGAAAGAGTACAAGAGATTTGAAAAGAACCCACCAAATATCCAATGCCGTGCATGAGAAACTCCACATCAAAGCATACTGTGAAGTTACAGAATTCCTGTGATTGATAGAACATCCTCAAAGCTTCTCCCAAAGAAAACACAATCACATATAAGCCTAAAAAATAAAAATGACTCGAGACTTCTCAACAATACTGCAAAGCTAGGATGCAATGAAGAAATGCTTTCAAATAGGAATAGGATAAGGAAGCCAATCTATGGATTAGAGGTGTGAAATTAAGGCATTCTCAGAAACATAATGATCTGGGGAAAAAATTATTTCTCATGCACATTTTCTCAGGAAGCTATTAAAGTATGAAATTTATCAAAAGCATAAATGTGAGAATAAAGGGGGAAAATGAATTCAGGAAGAAAGGGCAAGAAGCTAGATCAGGAAAACTAGTCCCAGGAGAGTGGCAGCGAGGGGTCCCAGGAGGCCTGCGGTAGAGGCCCATCCTCCAGCAGAAAGAATGAGTGTTCCAACAAAGGCTCAGAGGAAGGAATGGAACAGACTGGTTCTGATGGCTTTGACTGCTTTGTGCTGATCTTGTGGATTGTTTAGGAAGAATTAAGGAGTAGCACAAAAAGAAAACTAAATATTGAAAATGAGGCAAATATTAACTTCTGGACAACCGAAATTCTGCATAAGAAAGGGAACACGATTGTTAGTACTTGGTTCAGCAGTGAACATGTCTGAAATGAGGGAAAATCTGAATTAAAAACTAGTTTCATTTGCTTTTATTACCAATCTTAGAGGGCAAGTAACTAAGCAGAATATTCCCATTAGCTTTGCTGCAGATTACATCTCTGGTGTATGGTTCACAATGGCAACCATTGCCTGAGTCATTATTAGGAACTTGGGGCTCCTGCCTCCTGACATTGAACCACTTCATGAATAAACTCTCTGTCTTTTGCAAAACTCTTGACTTCAATGATCAGCCTACTGCATGGTGGGCAGAATGTTCCTGATTCAGTAATATTTCCATAGCACTAACACAAACTCTCTAAATACAGACTAATTTTTAAAAGCATAATGTAATTTTACTGACAGCTATGTGAAGACAGAGAATAAAGAATAAAGTGAGGATGTTAAGACAGATAAATCTTCATCTGCCATAAGAGGACAACAATTGCTACTATCTGAAACGAACAAGTGGAGAAGTAGAAGTAGGTAGATATTCCTTAGAAATGCAGTATTAATTATTTTTGGAAAAGTTAAATACCAGGGGGAAAAAATGGAAGGAGTTGGGAAAGTTGCAAGTGATTGCCTTCAAGGATAAGAAATAAAGAGACAGAAAAGTAAATTAAGGAACCACCATTATTCATGTAGTGGGTGATAAATAATTTCCCTCTAACTTTTCTCAGGGTAACCATGGCCACTCCTTTGGGAGTTGTCCTTGGTAGAATTACTTTTGCTTCTCCTCCCTTTGCCCAGCATTCTAAATTCTAAAGAAAAGCAGCGCCTAATGATTAAGATGTTTCCTGCTAAATCATCTTTCTTTAGATTTTCAGAACCCAGAACATCTGTTGAATTTCGGATAAATATCAGAATGTGTAACACCTCTCCTTATTCTCTAATCCTCTGCATTTCTGAGTGCCCCACTGTGTCTTATCAGGATCCTTTCTTCTCAAGATGCCAGCCCTTGAATGAAACCAATTTCATTCTCACAAATTTCAGCTCCCAAGTATTGATCTTCAAGTGATGAACAGTCCAACCTGGGTCTGGAAATATGATGCTTACTTGGGACAGAAACCTGAGCCAAAAGACAAGAAAAAAACAAACACACACGTTTATTGACATGCATAACTTATACATGTGCATGTGGGTGATATGCAAGAAATTAGTAATTCCAAGATAGACCTGGTGTGGCCTTGTGGTACCCACCTGTAATCCCAGTAATTTGGGAGGCTGAGGCAAGAGGATCACAAATTTGAGGCCAGCCTGAGCAACGTAGTGAGGCCCTAAGCAACTTAGCAAGAACCTGTTTCAAATAAAAAATGAAAAAGGCTGGCGATGTGACTCAGTGGCAAAGTGCCCCTGGCTTCAATTCCCAGTATGAAAAAAAAAAAATTATCCTTAAAGAGGAGGCTTTGACCCCAGGCTTAAATACCACCGTTTGTTGAATCAAAGAAAGAAAGTTGTGGGGAAAGCTAATTATAGGGAGGTGACCAGGAAAATCACCTTAACCAAGGGTAAGGTATGTTATGCCAATCTAAGTCCAGGCCTTCTCTGGTGATGTGAGTTTCCAGCAATTTAGAATAATCCTTCTCTTCCTGTACAGACTGAAAAACACCTTTGTATGTGATTTCCTTTATAGATGTCTATTTCCCTTAAAAAAGAGTAACTTCTATTTTTGTTTTCAGAGTATCTCCTATGTCTACAGTTTCTCAAAATAATCCTCATGCCAAAGAGGCATTTTGGGGGGTAGCATGTTTCTGATCTCTGACTGTTATATTTTAGGGTGACATGTCCTGAACCCCATGACTTGTCTTAACTCTTTTAGTACTATTTGACTAAAAATATATTACATGTATGTATATATACACATGTGCACTACACATCCTTTGATAAAAGTTAAAATTGCACACAGAAGGTTAGGGAGTGTGATGCATTTTAGAGAAATTTGTAGAGTCAAAAAGTGGGTGATCCCTTTTCCTGTCCACCATAAAATGTCACAGCCAACGCCGATACAATAAAAGTCAGGTTAACAAAAGAAAAGCATAACAAATTCATTTGATCATGGTTTTATATAACATGAGACCTTTCAGAAGGAAGATTTAAAGACACGAAAATACACCAGTGAGGAAGCCCCCTAAGGCCTGTCTTCTCCCAGTTATAACATTTTTTCTTCTCAGATATGGGCAGGACTCCTCCAGAATAAGGGTCTTCTCACCCATGACCCTCACAGAAGAGACGAACGGGGTTTAAAAGAGCTGGCTGCAACATTAAACTAAGAAAGCAGCGAAAAATCACGTAACACAGACGTAAGGTTTTCAGATCAAGGGGGGGACAGCTCTGTGACCTTAAGGGTCAGCTTCCATGCTGGAAAAAGAGCTCTGGAAAGAGCTTGTGAGCCCGGGATCCCTTTATTTTATAAGGGGTGGGGGCAGGATTAGAGGGGGATAAGGTTTCAAGGGTGGAGTCTTGCTTCTGATGTCTGTGGTCAGCAGATTGATTGACATTTTGGCAAGTCACACCCATCTCAGGTGCCCTGTGGGACCTAAGGCAGAGCTGGAGGGGGAGGTGATCACTCAGTGACAGGGAGCACCCAACGCCAGGCCTATCCCCTCATTTGGCCACTTTGTGAATAGCTCACACAGCCCATGGACGGCTCCTGACAGGGTGTGAATTTCTTTATGGCCAGCTCCTTAAAAGACAGGCAGGGTTAGGGTTAGAGTAATAATTCTAGTTGTTGTGGTTGATTTGGGGGAAGAAGAATTCTGGTTTATATGTTTTGCTTTGGTGGAGAAAATATAGGAAGGAAGGACAAGGTCAGAGAGAAATGTTGCTTCTCAGCCTACTTATGAGGTCTTCATTTTGGGAGTATCATTTCCTGAATCTCTACAGGATTTAAGGTAGATGCTTCAGTTCTTAAAAAAAAAAAAAAAGCCACACGCCTATAATGCTTCTCAGGAGGCCAAGGGAGGTGGAATGCAAGTTGGAGGCCAGCCTGAGAAACTTAGCCAGACCCTATCTCAATAAAAGCCTTAATGTGGCCCCTCTCACCTCCATCAGCACTAGCTGCCCTCACCCGCTCCTGCCGCTTGGCTCATCACACTCACCACATGTGCCTTTCTTCAGGATGGATCTGTTCAGCAAACAGGGGCAGGCAACCGCCCAGGCTACCAACTCACTCTTCAAAGTACTTTCAGGAACCTACTGAGCCACATTAGGACTTTCATGGATTCCAGGCACTTTGGTCTCCATGGCCACTTCCTTCATAAAAACCAATCAATCAACCAAAAGTATACCTGACAACTGTGTTGGTATAAAGATTGATCTAATACAGGCTGAGTTCATTATTATGTATTCATTAATATGGTGGGGTTCCTTTCCTTCTGATTTTAAAAGAAATTGAAACCAGCTGCACCTAACAGGGAAACTGACCCTGAGAACCTGAGGCAGGAAGGACAGGCCAGTGAAGCACTCTGACACCCTCTACAGGTCCTGGCAGGAAAATGTTCAAAGCCAAGAAATTAGTAAACCCAGATGGGATCAAGTCATCTTTACAGTAGCAGCTGGTGTCAGATAAGCAATTGTCATGGGCAGCACTACACAAGGAAACTCTTCTACGTTACTGAGTTCCCACAGGCTGTGCAAAGCTTATGAGTTTCCTGTGCAGCAGTCTCGTGTCCACTGACACTCAATAGCCCCAGAAATAAGGTTTTATGCCCATGTTCCCCAACCTGTCAGTGGCAGCCCAGGATGTATGACCCCAAGCCTGGTTCTCCCCCCCTCCCCGCCCCACTAATGTGGTCAGGCCTACAGTCATTTTGGGGTGGGTGGGGGCTGCATCTGCTCTGGTCACCCTCTGAATTCTTCCTTTCATACGCACTCTGCCTTGCATGGAAAATATACATCTGTGACTAATTGGTGAGAAGTCAGAATCTGATGTCCTTTTCTAACTTCATATACATGTTCTTTTGTGTCTACAAAGATCAGAGTTCCTGTGATACCACCACCCCCCTTTCTGTTTTAGTTCACTCAGGTGGCTATAGCAAAATATCATCAACTTGGTGGCCTATAAGCAGCAGCAATTTCTTGCTCACAATTCTGGTAGTGAAGGTGCCAGCAGACTCCATGTCTGGTGGGTCCACTTCCTGGCTTGTAGATAATGCCTTCTTATTGTGTCGCATGGCAGAAGGGGCACATGAGCACTGTGACTTTTTATTATGAAAGTATTAATTCTTTTTGTGAAGAATCTACCTTCATTACTTAGTCATCTCCCAAGGGCTCCATCTCTAAATACACAACACCTTGAGGGTTAGGATTTCAATACAAGAATGTTAGGGGACTGAGTTCATCACACCTTCAAACCCAAAGTTCCCTGTGGGCATCCCCCGGTGGCTATTTCATTCATATTGTGCTGCCGGCATCAATGGCAAAGGCCAAGTCTCCACCTCAGGTGGTTTTGTTTCGCTAGTGTGGTACTGTGAATGTGGCATTCCACAAGCGGGATCTTCTGCCCCCACCCCAGAATGGAAATTCAAACAAAGCAACACCAGGTGGAAATTCCAGCTCCACGTCATTTCCTTCAGGCCAGAGGGACTCCTGGGAGTGGGGGAAGGTAACAATTTACATTTCTGTAGAATCTCAGCTTTATGTTAATTAATCAAAACACTAAGCTACCCGGACAAATCCTTCAGGGAAAGCCAGAAAGCTAAACCCTGGTGCACCTTGTTTGAAATAATGATTTCCATGGAAGCAAAAATCTCACAACAGGTGCTCTAAACTTCACAACCTATTACCTGCAGAAAGTTCTCCCTAGGACTCCCTCTATTCCAATAAGATGATTTTCCTTTTACTTTTCCAGCCTGCCTACCCATGTTCTTCCCTGTCCCCAAGCAAAAGCACTCCTTGAATAAAAACGGGAGGTGGTCCTCAGGAAAAGGAGAAATGTTTCCTAAACTAAATGAGAAAACCAAAACAATTCACAAAGGATGGATTGAATGCCCACCCCACCAGCAAGCCCTGCAGTGCCTGCCCTCAGACAGTGGCCATAATCTTAGTTGCCACAGTGACAGAAACCACACCTTTTGGATTCCTCTTGACACCTGATGGGAGGCTATGAGGAAATCACTTGAGTGAAGGAAAGGCAGGCCTGAGGCAGAAATTGGATGAAAGAATCAAGAAATAATATATGCAGTGATTAGTGTTGGGCCCTAAATTGTCTACTGAGTACAGTAGCTACCTCAGGGGAGCAGAGAGAGAAGGAGAGGGGTACAGACATTCTTCCCATTATAGCTCCTAGAGATTTGAAATAATTTATTAAACAAAGAACATGGATTTAATTTACCACACACACCAAAAAAAAAAAAAAAGAAGAAGAAGAAAGGATTATAAGACATAAATTATTATTATAACCACTCCAAGGGTGATGATAAGGGCAGAGAAGCCAGACTCAAAGGACTTGCTCCCCGCACTGGGCTTTCTGAGGATCAAATTTTTGAAATGAAAACTGGAGGAAAGTCTGAATACTTACCTGCTGTGACTGCCCCTAAGATTAAGAGAGATGATAACCCCTAATGGCTAAACCACCTAAATTTATACCATGATGCAAGTTTAAATGCTATGACCCCCAAAAAAATTTTTGCCAAGGAAATTTCCATCAGGTTGTGCCCTAGACAGCATGAGGACCATCGGCATGAGGATCATCACCATGAGCTGCCCCAGATTCTTGCCTGGGGACTTCAAAGCCAGGTGACCAGCATGAAGTTTTCAGACAGAAGGACATGTCACATAAACATATGTCACACGAACACACACTCATAAGTAAAGGTCAGTGTGAAAACAATATTTAACTGAAGCCATCACCCAATGCCTGGAATGAGGCCACACAGAAACCATCCCAAAAAGATTTCACAAGGCACCGGAAGGGGACAGCATGACATGGGTCGGGGGTATGAGGGTGGCATTTGTCACAAAGCAACATCCTGATGAAGGATGGTCCTCTCTGATTTCTAGGAGTCAAGAACTGCCACTAAGTCCTAGTTTGGACTTTTTTTTCTTGACACATCTCTCACCTGCTTGACTCTGGTCCCCACACACAGACTAAGAGCCACCACTGCACCCACCACCTCACTGAGTCAGAGGAAAAGACAAGGAAAAGAAATCTGCAGTGGGATGCAGTGGCAACTAGCTTAGTCTCAGCAGCTTGAACAAAAATTATGATAGCTTGGGTGGCTTGGACAGCAAACA